TTAATGCATATAATTTGATAAATTATTCGATAGTAATTGCAAGTAAATCTGAATAGTTATAATAACTGTAGTCACAGAGTTACTATAGTTTATACTACGCCACACCATTCGGAGATTCATTTGCTATAACTATAAAATAATTTATTGAATCATATGCATAATTTTACATACAAAACTCGTACATTTATCACTTGTAGTTGCCACGAGTGTGTATTTTTCTCCGAGTGTACCCACCACCAGTTAGGAGCTCTAGACGACCTTAGACACGCTTAGCTTGTTGCCGTGTGCGGCTGGAAGGACAGCCGGGAAACATGAGCGAGGCCTCTCGCGAATTTCATTTTCGCACAATCGAATCTCTCCGTCGAGATGTCTCCCGCGGAAGAGCCCGCCGGACGATCGCGTGAAAGGAGCTTATCATGTTCGTGTTCGCCGTTAGGAAACGGGAATCGGTCTCGGGATCGACACCGGAAAGATGCACGGCTTCGATCGAGCGTTAAATGTACAATTCGCGAAGGATCCCTCGGCCTCACCTGAGAATGATACATCATCCTCCGAAGGTACAACCACCGTTACCGAGAAATGTTTTCTTCCGGGGTCGCCTTTGGTTGATTACGCAACACCACAAAAATGATAATCAAAGCGAAAATCAAACACGAGAGAATTTATATATATATTTCTGATTGATTTTCTCAGAAAGTGTGTTTACATCGAACTTTGGTGAATCAAATTGCAATATATTGTCTGTTAATAACATGTCTCTTAGAAAAAATGTAAGTTCTCCGTATCGCACGAAAATGTGCGCGCTCACGTGAAACAACAATGACCTGCAAAATGCGCAAGATACAAAGGCGATTCTGGACTGAGACGTGACATTCATGAACAGGAAAAATCAGGGAAAGTGTCAGGGGAAAAGTGGCCGCGAATATTTCGACCTTCTCGAGCGTTCCTCGTTTTGTATACGTGGCCTCACACTCCGTGATACCTCCGGCGAAACGGTGTTAAGAACATGGAATAAGCGCGCGCGAGAGGGAGAAATCGTCCATTATCTATCTATTTTATATCGTAGCGTAACAATCAAAGTGTTGGAAACTGTGAAATAGCGGCTGTCACCAAATCAAAAAAAAAAACAGAAATACTTTCGGAACACAGTTAGAGCGAAAAGCAACGGCGGATTAATGGGACTCGAGAGCGAACGGGCATCTCAAGGGCGGTCTGTAAACGAAAGTTCGCCCCTGTCTGCTTCGACCTGTCCCGTCGACTCTATCGTCGGAAGGTAGTTACCTCTGATTAAGAATTACGCGCTCCCTTCGTGTCAGGATGTCCTCGACCTCAGTCCGATTCATCCGCCGCCGGCGGAAACGATTTGTGCGAAAACGATTTCGCACGCGCGCACTCGCTAAATCACCGGCCTCAAAAATCGTTTCTCTCTCTGTACGGATATCTTGTATGTATCTTTATATTGACACACGTACATGGGTATATGCATAAATTTCTACGTGTCGCGCGTTGAAAAGACAAGACTCATACAGGCAGGACATAACGGACGCCTCGAGCACGCGACGCATCGTGAGAGTGCGTCGCTGGATTCCACGAGATAGAAAGAAAGAGAGAGAGAGAAAAATATGGATAGAGAGAAAGAGAGACAGAGAGTCAGGTATAAATGAAACGGAAAATTCCAAAGAGATCAAATCAAACGAAGGCAGATGCTTCGGGCAAACGATCGATCGATCGATCCGGCGAGATCCCGCCCGCCGGACGCACAGAACGACGAGAGAGACACGTTCGCTAGAGCAAGGATACGTACTACAGTACAAGATAGACAAAATGTTTGTAAGATATCGACTAGGTTCTCCGATAAATTCCCCCTAAACTAACAGTACGGCAAAGAGACAATGTAAATGTATGAGAGATTCTATCCCTACCCCGCCTCCCACGCCCTTCCTTCCTCCCCTATACCCAACCACTCGAGCCTCCGCGCCATCCCTTTTCTCCCTCTGTACGACGAGTGTAAAAAATATCATGTAATTAACACACACCGATAAATATAAATATATATATGAGTATATATATAAATGTATATAAAAAAAATATATATATATATGAATATATATAAAAATATGTTTATATATATTTATGTATATTTATATATATGTTTATATGTATACGCGTACGCGCATAGGCGCGTATACGTGTACGAGCTCGCACGTGGACGCTCGTCGTATACGCGCGTTATGGCAGATGATTGATTGTGAGTCATTTAAATAATTGTTATATGTATTTTCTATATATTACGATAAACTAATACAATGATATATATATTGAGATGATATTACGGTAATATTAACTAAGTGTAGTTAATTTAGATTAAGCGGGGATAACTATCCGCTCGTCGCGCGCAAAGGCCGACGTCTGGGATAAAGTTGGATCGCTCTAATCCAACACTTTCTACGATACACTCTCCGCACATACTAAGAGAAAGGAAGAAAAGAGCACGCGAGGCACCCGAGGCGACATCCCCGCGTTATCCCCGTTACGAGGCTCCCTTTCTTTAAGATACAGACGGAGGAAAGTAAGGTGAAATGGTAAATAAAGAAAAAAGAGAAGGAAAGGAAGAATAATAGAAGAGGGAAAATAAAAAAAGAAATACGCAACGTGGTTGCAAACCGCGGTGTCGCCTTGGGTGTCTGTGTGGAAAGTTGCTTGAAAGAAGATAAAACACACAATCACATACGTGTACACACGCTAAGAGAGCAGACAAACATACTGACAGCAGATACGCACACACATATGCACACACACGTATATACGCATCCACACACCGAGTGAAGAAACCACAATGCGGAATTTACAACAAAAAAAAAATGTATTTTCTCACTCCCACTGCGCGAGGTGTATGTTCATTGCTACATCTTATTTGGAACGAAAACCTAAATATTATATTATTATATAAAATTACTGTATAATTGTAACGAAAATTGTTTTTCAAACGATATGGTATTTTTATTGTAGATATTATTATATAACAAATAAAATCATGATTCATTGTACTTAATGGCGTATTTACTGTTAAATTACAATTACTGCGCAAGTAACGAGTGAGAAAAATTTTATGTTCCTCACTTATTATTTGTAGCTCCAATTAATTTTATATATTGTATTTTTAATTTTAATTTTATTAAATAATTTTAATTTATTTATTTATTTAGTAAAATTCAACGAATGCGACTTCTCATTCATAATATTATATCTTTGCAAAGAACGACCGCATCATTAAGGTTCTAACCTCCTGAAAACTAATGACTTCAATCTGTGAAACATCATGAACTATCTAATTATTATTATTTTTTATCAAAGTTATAACTATTATATTTTATATATAGTCTATTGAATTTTATTTGTTTTTTCGTGATCTGGAAAAATAAATTAAAAAAATTAAAGACTCCTTGTTTCTTAAGGAAATTTTCTAATCCTGAGAGTCGGATTTAATAATATATTCGGTAATTTTTTATGAATAAAAGTCAATATAATTCAAAAGTAATATATTTTTTAAACGTGCGTTAAAAGTCGATTAATCTAAAAACAAAAACTACGCAATTTTCTTAATGAGTGGACTTGTGATTCTTATCTATAGCAATATAATTGATATCGCGCACATATTTTCAATATGACGACAGTTTAAAAACAAAGTTTCAATTTTACTCATTATTTTTCCTTATTTAACTCTCCAAAAAGGTGAAAAAAATTAACATACGCTATACATTGTGGTATAGATGATAAACATATGTTTGTTGAATTTAAGTGTAAGACGATCGGATTAGTACCCCACAAAAACATCTACATTACATTCACGTCGAATCCACGTAAGGAAGTCGATTCCATGGATGTCCTCATGGGGTAGTTCTCTGGAATCATGGTCATAATGTTTGAAAACACGATTTCGAGAAAAACGCGTTGAAAATTTCACCAAACATTTTTTGCAATACTATTGGACATACCCAACAAATATTTCAAGGCTATAGAGGGGACCTACCCTTTTTTTCATAAATCTTGCTTTGAGTTGCTTTCGTCTCTCGAATGGGAATCTTTATTTCGTTAAAACTGGAGGATACGCGATGAGTCAGACCTCGTTTCACAAAGCGGCCAAATTGGAAATTGTGCTGCTAATAGTTATGCCCATATTATAATTCAACGTTTTGAACACATTGATGAAATTATCATTAAAAATACTTACGGTAAAAAAATTAACGATTTCTATCATTTCTTTGCCGGCGTAAATGTGTTTCAGGGCAAATACCTATATCGATGAATTTAAAAATTAATTGTTATTTTTTTCTATCTAACCTCGAGAGAAAATCTTATATATATTTATATCTTACTGTTCATAGGATAAAAGATAACGAAAATCATCTATTAGGCAGTATATTAGTTTCATATACGTTCTTTAAACTATATAATGTTTTATAATTATATTACATACATTTGAAGAACGTATGTGAAACTGTACTACCTGGGAAGGCAACCACTTGACACAAGTTGCCTCAATCGATTAAACGACGATTATTATGATTTGTATATTTTGGCCAATTTTTATCTTTCCAAGTAAAACCAAATAAAAAAATCTAAATTAGGAATACGCAAATTCGTAGATTCATTATTCTCGCGGGAAAATAAAAAGTATACTGATTGTTATACCCGTTATCTTTGATCAATAAGTCCAAAGTCTGCGGCATATACATGGCGCTAGTTTTGCGCTGGATCTAGTGAGATCTAAGGTCTGTTTTGTATTGCTGCACTTGTTCTCTTTTTTTCTCTTTCTCACCAAATCTCAAGAAAGAAAGAAAAAAAGAACCAGTGCATGCTAGTGCAGCTACTGCAGTAATAGGAAACAGACCCCTAGTAACATATTAGAAATCCACCAATCAAAACGCAGCAGCGTGGCGCTACCGGAAATATAATTTTTGTTCAATAGCAATCTCTTATTTGAGTAACGTGGTAATCGCATCGTTGTGTGTGTCTCCTTTCCGTTTCGTTTCTTAGGACACGATTCCTCGAGCAAAATGCAGAAGGTAAGATTTTTAATCCTACTAACAAGTAGAATCCTATCAACTTCAAATTTACTTCGTTCAGATCTATAATGCGTGGTTTTCTCTTTTTAGAAGCAAAAAGAGCCGATTCATTCCGTGCAGGTCTTCGGACGGAAGGTAAGCCGTAACAAGACCAGAATAAGTGAGGTTATGTTCGTGCACGCGTTTTTCATTTTGTGCCATGTGCTTGATACGAATTCTCATATCTTATAGAAAAGCGCGACTGCGGTCGCCTACTGTAAACGCGGGCGTGGAAATCTCCGTGTCAATGGCCGACCATTGGAGCTGGTTGAACCACGAGTGCTCCAATACAAATTGCAAGAACCCATCCTGCTCTTGGGCAAGGTAAATTCATGTGATAATAAATGATTGAGATAGCAGCTTCAGCAACCATCCTATGCAAATTCTCGACATTTCATTTGTCACTTCTGCTTCTAATCTCAGCTTGCTTTGTTCTGTGATGTTTATTTATTCCGAACATGATAATTCATGATTAAAAACAAGAACTGAGGTTACGAGTGCAAATAACATGTAGTTCTCACCAAATGAAGGCGCTTTTCTTAACAATAATAACACTCGTCTGTGTTTACGTTCCAGGAGAAGTTCTCTGGAGTCGATATCAGAGTGAGAGTAAGTGGCGGTGGTCACGTTGCGCAGATCTATGCGATTCGTCAAGCCATTTCCAAGGCACTCGTTGCATATTATCAGAAGTGTAAGTGGAATTGTGAGATAAATATTAGCTATACAATAGTTGGTTAGATTATGATAATGTGATTGATGTTTCAGATGTCGACGAAGCCAGCAAAAAGGAGATAAAGGACATCCTTATTCAATATGACCGTACTCTCTTAGTCGCCGACCCAAGGAGGTGCGAGCCAAAGAAGTTTGGAGGTCCAGGTGCCAGAGCACGATACCAGAAGTCTTACCGTTAATGCCTGTGTATTTCACATTATACTTTATTATTCATATTATTGAATAAAAAAGAAATTAAAGTCCATATGCCTTTTTTTCCTTTCTATATCTAATAAAGCCTGTCTAAGCCTGATGTATAACAAATTTATATTAAAACTTGTCTTGAGTCGAGAATTTAGTATTAACAGAATTGTTTTAAGTTTTCATCAGAAGCTCTATATAAATGAAACATAAATAATTCATGAATATATATATATATATATGTGTGTGTGTGTGTGTTTTTCTTATTTTTATAGTACATCAAGATTTCTATTATTAGTTCCAAAATATTCTCAGTGGACTGCCATTGTTTCTGTCGACAAGTCGGAGTCGTAGTACGAGTCAACGACATCTCAGGCAAAATTTCATTTTTCCGTAGCATAATTTAATAACGGGAAAGTAATCAGTTCTTTAATGAAAAAAGAAACCAATTGAATAAGGATGAATCATTGGTTGATTATCTCCATATGACATAACGTTTAAGATAACGAGTTACGTGATATTAAGTAAGGTAGTGTAACGTCAAACTTTCACGGTGGCTGTTTGAATCTTCTTTCAGAGGGAAAATAAAACCTTTTCCAGAATGAAGACACGATTTAATACTTACGATCTTGTATGTTCAGTAACTGAACTACAGAGGTAAGCAGAAAATATAAAGATTTATTCCAAATTTGATAGGATATTAAGGTTATATATAACGTTTGAATCATATAACCTTATTAACCTCTTCAGGGACGAATTAAAAATTTTTTTATTTAAAACAACGAAAATTTTTTAAATTTATTTTATTCAACACTTAATAATAATGGTAATTTTTAAATAAAACTAAACGTACACATATTTGTCAATATCTCTGAAGAGGTTAATACAGTTCGTTGTCAAAGTGCGACTGTTATTTTATTTTATCTTGTCAGCTTCATTCGTTCATCAATCATTTGTGACAATTAATTACTATCGTTATGTACATGTTGATATAAATTGTGTAAATTATTATTAACTCGTTAAGATTTTGTAGATTATGTACGAACTGTTTCTCTTTCTAAATGTATCTAAAAAATTTCAGGCTTATTGGCATGCGTGTCAATCAAATTTACGACATAGATCATCGTACATATCTTATACGTTTTCAACGCAGTGAGGAAAAATGTGTTCTGTTACTTGAGTCTGGTAACAGGATCCATACAACAGGTTTCGAATGGCCAAAAAATATAGCTCCTTCAGGTTTCTCTATGAAGGTAATTGCATAAAGTAATAAGTGAATTTTGAATTGTAAAATAACTTCCATGTTATGATAAATAATGATATATTCATATTTTATAATCGACAAAATATTACAGATGCGCAAGCACCTTAAAAATAAAAGACTAGAAAGTCTCGTCCAAGTTGGCACGGATCGAATAATAGACATGCAATTTGGAAGTGGTGAGGCTGCATATCATATCATTTTGGAAGTATATGATCGTGGTAACATAATTCTCACGGATTATAAAATGGTAATTTTGTACGTCTTAAGACCTCACACGGAAGGAGATAAAATTAGGTAAGATATAAAAAATATGCTTACAATATCAAATATATGCACATGTATGAAATATTGACGAATTCATGTAATATCTAGGTTTGCTGTAAAAGAGAAATATCCGTTAGACAGAGCTCACAGTGAAGCAATGCCACCTGTAGATGAAATTCGCGAGCATCTTCAGAAAGTTAAGGAAGGAGAGAATCTGAAAAAGGTGTTAAATCCATTATTGGAATTTGGCTCAGCTGTGATTGATCACGTTCTGCTTAAATCTGGATTTGCCTTGGGTTGTAAGATCGGTAAAGATTTTAACGTCGCTGAAGACATGCCGAAATTGATTCTGGCACTTGAAGAAGCCAATAATATTGTCGATCACGCAAAGAAAAATACTTCCAAAGGTTATATCATTCAAAAGAAGGAAAAAAAACCGACTCAAGACGGTAAGGAAGATTTTATATTTGCCAATATTGAATTTCATCCCTTGTTGTTCGAACAATACAAGGATCAACCATACAAAGAGTTCGATTCTTTCGATGCCGCGGTGGACGAATATTACTCCACGATGGAAGGACAGAAGCTAGATTTGAAGGCTCTGCAGCAGGAAAGAGAAGCTTTAAAGAAACTGGAGAATGTAAAGAAAGATCACGATCAGAGATTGATTACACTGGAGAAGACACAGGAGGTTGACAAGCAAAAAGCGGAATTGATTTCGAGGAATCAGACTTTAGTGGACAACGCTATTCTGGCTATACAAAGCGCTCTGGCAAATCAGATGTCCTGGCCGGATATTCAAGTGCTGTTAAAAGAAGCTCAAGCTAGAGACGATCCCGTTGCCTCCGCTATAAAACAACTGAAGCTTGAGACAAATCACATTTCCTTATTGTTACACGATCCTTACGAAGACAGCGACGAGGAGTCCAAGTTGAAACCCATGATGATCGACGTAGACTTGGCTCATACAGCATTCGGTAATGCCAGAAAGTATTACAGTCAAAAAAGATCGGCAGCTAAGAAGCATCAGAAGACGATAGAGTCGCAAGGGAAAGCTTTGAAGTCGGCGGAGAAGAAGACGAAGCAAACATTGAAAGAAGTGCAAACCATACACAGTATTAACAAACTGAGAAAAGTATATTGGTTTGAAAAGTTCTATTGGTTTATCACATCTGAGAATTATCTGGGTAAGTTTCTCTGCCTGACATTTGCGTCTGTCTGTGACTTGATTAACCATAACACAAATACACAGTTATTGGTGGAAGAGATCAACAGCAGAACGAGTTGATCGTGAAGAGGTACCTAAGAACCGGAGACCTGTATGTTCACGCAGATTTAATCGGTGCTAGTTCTGTCGTGATAAAAAATCCCACCGGCAATCCTGTACCGCCGAAATCGTTGGCGGAAGCAGGCACAATGGCGATTGCGTACAGGTATAGCTTCTATTTTTACATATAGAAAAATATTACTTGTATTACGAGGAAAAACAATTACTTGATTTATTTTTCTTCTTTTAAATAATGATTATCTTAAACGAATATTTTTTTATTATTGAAGAAAAGTCCGGTTTATTGGAATAAATAACGGAAGCTTTAGTTTTAGTGTTTTAATATTCTTGATTGAAATACTAAATTTACTAGGATTGAGAATATATTTTGAATAAATTGGTATATTTATGGTGGACTTATACTTGCGGATATATAAATTTATGAAATATTTGAGATAAGCGCTCACCATATAAAAATGTAACAAGGAAATAAAAATGATTTCGGGTCAAGAAGTAGACCTAAACAAGACAGCTGTTAAAAGAAGAAAAATAAGCTGAGTAATTACTTTTCTCCCAGTACAAATAATAAACATTGTTATATCCGTGTATCCGTGTATGGTAGTGGCTGTTGTTGAATTAGCTGCTCAATCAGCTGTGCATCCTTTCGATAGATAATTAATACTGACAATCGGAGATCTCTATTAATAAAAAGAGAGAATTTTTACACTATTTTCCTTAATTAATTATACCGAGCACGATTAATACTGTGAAGCTGTAAATACAAGCTTTGATTTCTCTTAAACGAGTGTATATATTTGATAGACATACGTGAACGCGAGTGGCGTGTAATCATATTTTTCTCTGTGCACAGCGGTAGCTTCCAAATTTACATGTACAAATTTATTTGTATTTTCTCCCCAAGAATGGACCGAAAAAATAACTATTCTTCCAATATAATAATTCATATTTTGTTGACAGTGTCGCCTGGGATGCTAAAGTAGTGGCGAGTGCATGGTGGGTGCATCACGATCAAGTTTCGAAGAGCGCACCTACCGGAGAATACCTCACTACTGGATCCTTCATGGTACGTGGGAAGAAAAATTATCTGCCACCGAGTCAGTTGATTATGGGATTGGGTATCATGTTTCGGTTGGAGGAAAGTTCGATGGAACGGCATAGGGATGAGAGAAGAGTCAAAGTCATGGACGAGGAGAGTGAAACTGCGGATTCAGTGGTTGAGGACGATAAGGAAATAGAACTAGAGGGCGATTCGGACGAAGGTAGGTGTGAATAAATCATTTATAATTGGAAAAAATCGTCACGACTGCTAATTTAGTTTCAATAATTTCGAACTTTCCACGTTAGATGAAAATGTAGAAGACAAAAATACGTTAAACCCAATTCAGGAGGAAGATCATTTGGAATCGGAATCGTGTGGAATCGCGACAGATAATAACGACGTCGTTAAAGATGAGTGTGACGATGAAGAAGAAAAAGAGGAAGATACGAAATGCCAATTTCCCGATACACAAATAAAAATCGATCTTTCGGGCCCGAAGTAAGTGAACATTAAGCTTTTGATTTCATAATTAAAACTTATGTGACATATGATATACATGATGTATTTTTGCGCAGAGTGAAACTTCATATTGATGATAATCAACCCTTAATAACAACACAAAAGGATATGGAAGAAAGTGTAGTTTACCTCGGAGATGATAAGCCTGTTACAATAAATATGTCGGTTAAGGAGAAGCGTGCAAAAACAAAACAGAAAGCACAACCGAAAGAACCAAAGGAGCCGAAAGAAAAGATCGAGAAAAGTGACAAAACCGAAAGTGATAACAAGAAGGAAGAGCAACCTGTATTGAAACGAGGACAGAAAGGGAAACTGAAGAAAATGAAAGAGAAATACAAGGATCAAGATGAGGAAGATAGACGACTTTCGATGCTTGTCTTGCAGGTATTTCCTTTCTCATTCTCATATTGTACTTATTAGACAATTATTCAAGTACTTTGTATTTCTATTTTCCATTTTTTCATCCATTCAGTCGGCAGGTGCAGCTAAAGAAGATAAGAAGAAAAATAGAATTAAAGATCCATCAGGTCCCAAACAACAAGGGAAGAAAAAGCCAAACGCAAGGCCAAACGTTTCTGCACCATTTGTGCACATAATGGATAACATTGACGAAGAAGATACAGGCCCGACTCCCGAAGTCGATATGCTTGATCAATTAACGGGAAAGCCATTTTCAGAGGACGAATTATTGTTCGCTGTGCCTGTGGTGGCGCCTTACAACACCTTATTGAATTACAAGTAAGTTGTTACATTGAGCTGTAATATAAAGTTACATAAAGTAAAATGTGCTTCATTTACAGTATATTTCAATATTTGTCTTAGATTTAAAGTGAAATTAACACCTGGTGTCGGAAAAAGAGGCAAAGCCGCCAAGACAGCTGTAGCAGTATTTCTAAGAGACAAAGAAATATCTGCGCGTGAGAAGGATCTATTGAAGGCGATTAAAGACGAGATGATAGCTAGAAATATACCCGGAAAAGTAAAAATAAGTGCTCCTCAGATTCAAAAGCTGAAGAAATGATTGCTTGATAATTTCAACTTGCATGGTTACAAACTTACCAGTGATTCATAAGTATACAAGACTTAATTATAAAGATGTTTTGGAAAGTATATACTTTCTTGCAATCGCATTCTCTGGCAAACGTTGAAACAATATTCAATGAATGTTGATTGACACAGAAAAACTACACGTTTATAAGATTACGATTATCTAAATTTCTAAATAATTGCTAACCTTGCTTTTAAGAATTGGAGTAAAACGATTAGTAAAAATGTTTATGTATATAAGAGATTACAAAACTCGTTATTTTTATTCTTAATAATTATTCCAAATTAGTTTTAAATATTTAAGTTCGGATACATTATGTAAATAAGAGTATACGATACGGATGTATATATAAAAATTTGGTCGTTTGATTTTATAACTACTTATCTTGCTAATAAATCGTCATTATGTCACAAAACGATAGGATTTCCGACTTACTTTACATGCCGAATTTAATAAATTAAAGTGATTTTGCAAATAAAGTCATCTATAGTTAACACTATGTCGTCCACACGTCTAATCGGGATTCTTTTGTTTGGCGCCGGTAGGACTGACTCAGATCATTTCGTTTGTCGCCGGCGGTTTTTCGAGGTTTTCGGGAGATCATAAATCGTCAGTTCTCATTAGTTTTCAATTTTGTCCTGCTATTTTCATGAAATTTTGAGGATATATGTAAATAAATGTAACATTTTTTTGTATTATATATTTATTTATTTATTAATATTTTATTGGGTACTTAGTATTTCTCTTTTAGATGATATGAAGCAAAACAATCTCCGAGGAGTAACACGACTCTACAAGAATTACCCATTAAATTTGTTGTCCTTCTTTTTTTGTTTTTGGAACATACATGGCACTTTCTTCGTTTTCGTTTGTCGGTTTCGGAAATTTGTATCAGCTGGTGTTGCTTTAGCTGACCGGAAAGTCTGTCGATCGAATCATGATGTCTGTAACTTATTGTTACTTAAACAGAACACAAACAGAACACCAACAGTACACAATCAGAATACAAACGGTACCACAATGCTGTCGCTGGCCTTTGCACGATAGTTTTGCGCACGACACCAACGTGATGTCGCCGGCCTTTCTGCGATAGTTTTGCGCACAACACCAACGTGGTGTCGCCGGCCTTTGCACGATCGTTTTCGCGGGACACCAACGTGGTGTCCCCGGACGGCATAGTGTTAATATAGTGCAAGCTATAAGGGAACAAACGAAAATTAAATATTAAAGATCGTCCAATCGACATACAGAAATGAGCGTTCAATATTTTATTGTGTGCTAAACCAGTACCGAACAATTTTTATATAACAAATTCGATTTAATATGTATTTATTTCCGAAAAAAATATTCACATATTTACAAAAATCTGATCTGAATACTATAACGGTGATTGATCAATATGTGAAAACAATATTATGTTAATCATGGATGTTTAATATATATATGAAATCACGTACAAAAGTATATATATAAGATACGTAGTTTCGGGGATATCTTTTATAGTACATTTCTCACAACTATTTTATGTACTTGGTCACTGTCTCAACTCGAGGAACTACATATCGAATATATCCTCCTCCGACTCAGTTTCAAACAATGTTGGTTTATTGAACTGTAACATATTCTTTTTGGCAGTTACTTTCCTCCCAACAGTAGTAGCCGGTCTTGATCTCGTTCCTTTTGATACAATCTGAATATATAAAATATATTGAATACTAATTTATGTTTACTCACTATTTTTTAATTGGAAACAAAAATTGGAATCACTAATCATCAATTATATAAAATTTTTTACCTCGGGCTCAGGCTCAGAAACGGTTGTTGAATCATCCAGAGAAATGACTTTCCGCCTCGTTTTACTCGTAGCTGGTTTCTTCTGTCGCATTTTATTTGGACGCTTCATCAACGGCTATTATATTTAAAAAGAAAACATTTTAGTAATAAAATCGATTTGGGTAAAACGATATTTTTTAAATTTAAATTAAAATCAAAACCAAAGGAACCACATGTTTGTTACGCAGTACTTTTCCAAATAGACAATTACCTCCATTGAATCATTTTCCGAATCATCATCAACATAATTGACTCGCATTTTCTTTCTACTGCTCAACAAGGTCGCTTTCTTCGTTGCTTCAGGCACTTCGTCATCGGACTCGGATTTTTTCGTTTTTTGAACAATTTTAATATCATATTCACCATCAGGATCTATATCTTCTAATACCTTCTTAATATCTTTCTTATTACCGCGTTTTTTATCAATCACAATACCTATAGTGCTTTCTCTTTGATTATTTCTTAAAGAATTACTTGGGGCGGCTACATGTTTCGAACGCGGACTTTGTCTGACTTGATCTAGTTTCCTTACTTTTTGTGGCGTAGATTTAACAGAATTCTGTTGAGCAGGCGTGGTTTTCAATCCTAACTTTCCATCTGGTTTATGATTTAGTTTCTTCAACCCAGCTATTAACGTATCTTTAAATTTTTCATAACACGGTGTTTCGTTAAACTTCATATTGCTTAATAAAGTCATACATTTTTGCATAGCTTGTGGAGTTGATCCATGGAAACATTTGTTCAGGAAACTATCAATGTTTTCGAAAGCTTTTTCTTTCTCTTTCTGAACGATAACTTTATCGACTAATTTTTCCCATGGAAGTGAGCCACACAACCAAAGAATCATATTGTAACATAAAATTTCAATATCACCACGCTGTGTTGGCACTGAAAGAATAAAAATGCATTTAGAATATACTTGTGTTACCTTCCTAGTTAAAATTTAAGGGAAAGTGATAGGAATATACTGCATTACGAATTAGAATAGTCCCTAATCTCTCTCTCTCTCTCCTTACCTCCCATATGGGCATCTCTACTTGTGTATTGTAAAGTTCCATTGTGTGCTTTTTTTGGATCAACTTTTAATTCGGTACTTGTTGTACAGTGAGAGGCTAAACCAAAGTCCACTAAATAAACTTGATCGAAGGTTTTTAAATCCAGTAACAAGTTTTCACCTTTAATATCAGCGTGCACATAAGTTTTGTGGTGAATGTACTCTAATATATCTATCTAGAAATTCATTAAAATATTATCCCATGTAAATTATATAACTTGTCAAAGAATTGCAAATTTATAGGCACAATATATGACCTTTAATCATCTTACTATTTGTAAAGCTAGTTTATATACTGTGTGCTCTGGGAATTGCCTATTATTAGCCTCAAAAATTTTCCACAAGTCTGTCCCGTATCGATCTATTACTAAAAATCGATACTTTGTATTTTTATACTCATGACTTCCAGAAGCAACATATTTGGGCATTCCAAGTGCCGCAAGTTTCTTTTTTCTTCGCCAACTATCAACTAAAAAGATCTCGTGATATGCTTACCTCTCGAATATTTTAATATGTGACTGATAAATACCTGATATTCAATCATAGCGTAGTATTTTTAGTAGAACAAATATCAATCACATAATTGCAGATATTGAAGAAAAAGATTCTTAGTTCTAAACTTACTCTCATTTGGCTTGCAATTCCTCATATAGAAATGCATTTCTACAAATAATGGGCCATTTCCATGCGGTTCCTAAATTTACAGTTTGTAAGATATAAAAGAGTGTCACAACCAGAATTATATATGATAAGCAAAAAAAATCATGGTACTTACAATTTTTATAACATTGGGATAATCTTTTGGAATATTTCCGGAATACGATGCCGCTGTAATTTATAATATTGGTCAATTAATTGTACCGTAACAGCCTAAATATTTGTCGATGATAACATATACGGTGAAAACAAATCTGATCCTTCAGGCTTTTGCAATGTCAATATTTGATTTGGCAGAAACAAATATTACGTGCCTGGACATAATTGTGCAAGATAAAACCAAGCGAATACGATTAGCAAAACATAATTATATAAAATTCCCGCCATAAAATCCAGCACGAATGGCTTGTTGATTTTTCCTTGCATAATTATATCCAACATTTTTTCAGTTTAGATGTCTACAAATGACGCGGTTTGCAATGATCCGTTGTTAATAAATAATCCGCCTCAAGTATACTAACGATGAAACTCGTGGGCTTACCAGAGTAAACCTCGCCGAAACCGCCGACGCCGATTGACTTGCCAAGAATCCATTGTTTCTTCGATATATCCGTGAGAACTTCTCCAAGCGGTATCGCCTCGGGCATTTGATAGCCGCCTTTTTTCCGCGGTGCTCTCTTCGCCGCTTTCGCTGCCATTACGATGATATATGTGACGGATCAGGTCCTCTGATAAATTAAAGCGTGAACGTTGCAGACACGCCTTGGAACGATCAACGGCTACAGACGTCGAGCACGCGATGACAATGTAATTACTGATTAATCATGCGGTATATGTTAGCACATAATACGCCGATGTGTCGGATCGGCTAACCTACGATACCGCAATGGATCATACGGTGGCGGACAACCGCCAGAACTTCGTGAAGAAATTTAAACGTTCGCGATTCAGGTGGGAAACGCGCGAACGTTGAAGTTACCGCACCTTCGGGCGCGTTCGCATGCATGATTTACTCTACCGAGGTAAATAACGACGTGATCTTTTTATCGAGGTGAGAAAGTAGCAGAGAATATTATCTCAAACGTGTCGAAGGACCGATCGATTTCTGTTGGAAGATCTTCCGTTCCTCTCGTGATCAGGGTAACGACGCAGGTCGTCAAGTTGCCGATCCTGAGGTCGCGTGTGTACATGCCTCATATGCCGCGCATGTTCGTGCGTGCAAGGCGGTCTGTTGATTTTGACAAGTGTCAAGCGGCTCTTTAAGATTCCGATTTGCGATTTTGCGCGAAATATGGTGATGATAATGATCAGGGCGGAGCGAATCGCGGCACGACGGTAGCGGCACTTATGAGACGGCACGCACGCAAATCCACGGAGATCTCTCTTCGTCGGCAGCTCACCGGAACTCGCGACGCGGTCGTTTAGGTTACCCTCGGCCTCGTATATTCCTCTTTTAAATGGAAGAAGCGACGGCCAACTCGCCGGGACTACGGTTGGATGGCAACAACCGCATCGCCGAGTCGGGCGACAAGACACCCTGCGGGAGTGACAGCGACGCGGAACGTCAGTGCGAAGATCGCACGCCGCAGCAGTCCGAGAGATTCATCGACAACTCCATTTTCAATACCATTTCGAAAATCGTCAATCCCAATGCAAAGGTAAGGCGCGCTTGCTTTTGTTTCTTGCGAGGTGCGAATTTTCTCTTAGGCCCACATGTCGCAATTTTGGGGGGGACCCGAATAGCCTGACCGTGGGAGAAAGTTGAGTGTCTCTCATCCTTCTCTTTTGCATGTATGTATGTGTAGTATATATAGATCGTAATCTATGCTTCTATGAAATTTGTAACTGAGAGGAGCTTATCGATATTTTAAAAATGTATTATTTTACCTGCGTTCCGATATTCATTACCAGTATTGACAATCTATATCATACATAACATAGACTATAGCCTTTGTCAGCTTCGTTGACAGTTGAAGGCCTCAGGTTTGTTCTATTGGTGTCTGCACTTTTTAAAATAGCCAACTAACCATCAATGTGTGTTATGTTAAATGGACAAGCTTGAGGGCTTTAGCGGAGTGACTGAATTGTCGGTTTAAGAAAATGTTTTACGCCTGAAGTCCTTGTCTTTAATGCACAATGATTATCTTGTGTCTTGAGTCTTAAATTGAAAAACTGTTTGGTTTGTGATTGATGAAAATCAATCACGGACGAACTTCTGTGTAATAAAACAAGTAAACAAATGGTAATTTAGATAAAGATTTAGGGCATCAAATATTACCTTAAAATTACAAGTCAGCCGCATTCTGCGGAGGTCCTCTATACTTATCTCTGATAAATGGAGCTAATTATATAATTAGAGCATGCATTTTTGTAATGTTTATTATGAAATTACCATATATGTTGTAGAAATATATATATATAAGGTACATTGAGATATTCCTCAGCAAGCACCAAGTAACAGTGACATAACTGTTGGTTATAATTTCCCATTCAACAATGTAAATACAATAACACTCGTGTGTTTTATATTGTCGAGTGGAAAAGTATAACCAACAGTTATGTTACTGTTGCTTGGTGGGTCACTTTGCTGGGTGTTATATTACGATGCAAGAGGTAAACGTTGCACACAAGTCCCAATATATAATTTAGCCTCTTCTAACTTCACAGAAGTGCGCACTTCAAGCAGCGTATTTAACGTCATTGCGTCTCTTCGCTAGGTGCCAGAAATTGATGACTTTAAGATAGTGAAGCCAATAAGCAGGGGAGCTTTCGGTAAGGTGTTCTTAGGGCACAAAAAGTCCAATCCCGAGCAAGTGTACGCGATCAAGGTGATGAAGAAGAACGAGATGATCCACAAGAACATGGCGTCGCAAGTGGTGATCGAACGGAACGCGTTGGCCCTTACCCGCAGTCCGTACTGTGTGCAACTGTTTTACTCGCTGCAGACCGTCAGCAGCGTGTACCTAGTCATGGAGTATATGGTGGGCGGTGATCTCAAGAGCCTGCTCGGCTTCTGCGGCTACATGGAGGAATCCATGGCGGCGTTTTACACGGCGGAGGTGTGCCTGGCACTGGAGTACTTGCATTCGCACGGGATCGTGCACAGGGACCTGAAGCCGGACAACATGCTGCTGTCGAGCGAGGGGCACGTCAAACTCACGGACTTCGGACTCAGTAAGATATCGTCCTTACACAGAGACCTCGAGATATCGGATCTGGTGAATTGCACGCCCAGTCTGTGCGCCAGAACGCCCGGTCAGATCCTCTCGCTGACCTCCCACCTGTCTTTCGGCTCGGCCCAAAAGTCCAGCAGCAAGTCGAACTTCAGCGACTGGAGCACGCCGGCCATGAACCTGCTCTCTGCGCTGCAGAGGAATAGCACTAGACCGCAGTCGTCACCAAATTCGATCATCTCCTCGGTAGCGTCTGGTGACTATTCACAGGAATCCGGTATCACTTCGTTCCAGTCGATGGAGGATTTGCACCTGGAGGGCACGGAGCAGGGTATGACGAACGACGTTGGAGCGGACGTTAGAAAGAGCGAGGAGAGCCCGTCGCTGAGGACGGACAGCAATAGCTCCGGCAGCTACCACACCTGCGCGTCGTCCTCCATCCAGACGAACAATCACACCATTCAGAATACGGAGGACGAGGACGAGTCCACGCTCGAGGCCGAGCAATCGCAGCAGCCTCTGCGAACCAGTCCACTGAGCACCTGGGTGAAGTCGTTCGGTAGAGGAGCGAAGAGGAAGCGGCACAATGAGACCACTAGTTTAACGTGCGAGATCAACGCGATGGACCTGGACGTCACCAAGACGCCCAAGAGGAAGAATCGCGGGCCCTTGTTCTCCGACGCGAACACGATGGCGGTCAACGTCACCGCGATGTCCGACAAACCGGTGGACATCACGATCGACACGAGCAACGAACAAGACACTGGCTCTGCGGGTCGAGTAGCCTTCAGCACGCCGGTGTCCTCCATTAAGAAGAGCCGTGAGACCGCGGAGAAACGGAAGAGCCAGGAGGAGAATGGTGCTCTGATCAAGACGACGAGATTTCACCTACCGCCGCCGTCCACTTCGCACTCGGCGCCGAACCTGCACACCGACGGCCATCGTTCACCTCAGGACATCTCGCCCATCAAGACACCTACGGCTTCGAGCAACTGTTACACGCCCTACAGGACGCCGAAGTCCGTCAGAAGAGGCGGCCAGACCGCGACCAACAGGTCGGACGATCGCATACTCGGCACGCCCGATTATCTCGCGCCGGAACTCCTGCTCAAGCAAGGCCACGGGCCTGCGGTCGATTGGTGGGCGTTAGGTGTGTGCCTATTCGAGTTCTGCACGGGCGTGCCGCCGTTCAACGACGAGACTCCGCAGGCGGTATTCACCAACATCCTGGCGCGAGACGTACCGTGGCCGGAAGACGAGGAAGCTCTGTCGTCGGCGGCCACCGACGCTATTGACGCGCTGCTCACCTTGGACCAAGCAACACGTCCTTCGGCAAAGGAAGTGCGCGCCATGGCCTTCTTCCGGAACTTCCCCTGGGACGAGCCGGCGATAGCCGTACCGCCTTTTATCCCGCAGCCGGATGATAAGTATGATACGTGCTACTTTCAAGGTATGTCGCTTTTCACGTCACACCATTGTTGTTCAGGGAACGATACCATAACAATGACGATGGCGTAACCGACAAGGAAACACTGCGTATCCGAACTCTTAGACTTGAGTGAACTTCTGTATGTAAAGAGATCCAATAACGGTGACAGAAATTTTTAACGAATTTTTTCTAAATCTTTTCTTAGAAATTTTGTTTTTAATTTCTACTTATGTCTCTTTGTAAACCTTAATTTGCCATTAAACTTTCGTTGCAAACATTTCTTTGATCACTTGTAACTTAAGAGTTACACGTGAAAAATTCGAAGCGTCCTCTTAATTCGTAACACTTAAATTTGAAAATCATATATTAAGGATGTCTTGCCCATTAGTGTTGTATTTTCAGTGACACGTCAAGGGAGACACTCATAAATTTAGTATTCATCAAATAAAATTGTTTCTATACATTTATTTCACCATCCGAATAATAAATGTTAATTTTAAATGAAGTTCAGATAACATATATGTGTGTGTGTGTGTGTGTGTGTGTGTGTGTGTGTGTGTGTGTGTGAATGAATATGTATATAATGTTACAAATATGAAAATATTATTTTTATTTTTCTGATTAATGCTATATTTTTCATTATTTTGAGTTATGGTAATACATCCTTAAGTGATAGAGCATGATAAAACACGAATAAAGTATACCGTTATTCATAGCTTAAGTCACTCTACATACCCATAAAAGTTCATCCAAATCGAAAAGTTCGGATCCAGTGATGTTTCCTTGTGAGTCTCGTTCATCTTATTTGTATCTCCAATTCAATTATGAAATACAATAGAACAGTGGAAGAAGCACAAGCAAATTTTCATTACATTGCACCATTTTTTCTCGCTTCATTTTTGAATTTCAATAGTATTTTCTTTTTTTACGCGGTATTGTTTCTTAAATACTATCGTCGATATCATCGTGTAACTCGGCTATCGACCACGGTTATCGACACCGCTGATGATATCGACGACTAACGCGGGAATATCTGTTTTTGTTTCCAGCGAGAAATATTCTTCAACACTTGAATGTAAGTCAATGCGATACGTAGACTTCGACGGTATGCGGACGGTGGCAGGAACGGAAGCCTACAGTATCGAAATATTATTACTATCTGTAACTTTATTCTTCTTTTTTTATATATACTTGTGTATGTATAATAGTATAAAATACTTTGTCAGTATGTGAAATCGCGCGAGTTTGCGTTCGTTTTCTTACGTAGTAAATGAATGATGATGGCATTATTTAGCGATGAGGAAGCGTACGTAGAGCACGATGATATGGAACTTGAGACGAGCTGGAACGTTCGCATCTTGTATAATTAAAAAGAAAGAGGAGTGAAGAGGAAAATGACAGTTAAACTTCGTCGAAAGTGGGACTACGCGTTACTGCTTTCGATCACGAAAACATATTTTCTTTTTTATTCCGCTATAGGAAGCTCTATCTTTGATAGAGCTCGAGAGTTTTTTATCACATTTTTCGGAGCGAATGCGACGGATCTTGCGTTTTTCGACAAGCCTTCTTGCCGAAGAGATGGTGGCTGNATGGTGGCTGTGCGAACCGGGGGGGGGGGGGGGGGGCGGTAGATTATCATATCCATTATTTTAGATTTTTATTAATCCACTGTAAAAAGTGCGTCACGCGTGTGTACACGCCCGGATACTGTCCTTTGCCGCACCCTATCCCCCATGACACAATGCCAACTTGCGTCCAACGGCCGTCGTTTATCATTAGAGGGCCTCCACTGTCGCCCTGTATATAAAATAGAAATGCAAAATGTTATGAATTTTTATAATGAAATTTTGTTGTACGTACAAATATTGATTACGATCCATAATTTATTACGAGATGAGATCACCTGATTTCGCCCAGTAGAAGCTAATCAATTGATTACATTGGGGATTTCACTGTGGACTGTGATATTTAGCAACAAATATAAGATGCGAGTACTAACCGAGCATGAGTCCTTAGCAGCTTGGCCAGCACACAGGAAACTGTCGACGATTCCTCCCGGTGCTGCTATACCATACTTCAACTTGCACTCGCTGTTCGACCAGACTGGTATCGAAACTTCTTGCAAAACTGCTGGTTGTATCCCACCTGGTCGAGTACAATAAGTTATTGTTAAATTTTATACGTTGTTTCTTCAGGAAAATAATCCTATCAGGGCCGTGCAAATAGAGGGCACAGCGAATACATCGTACAGGGGCTGTCGATATTAAGAGGCACACCATCTTCATTTGGAGTAGTGGAAATTATCCATTTTAAATATTTTATACATAATATAAATAATATTAACACTCCCAAAGAGAAGAAAGAGAGAGGAATTATTATTTCATATAATAAAAAGTAAAATCTGGAAGAAATATTCCTAAATATATACGATCTTCAGTGGTACAAGTACGGTTAAATGCTCGTGTAATTTTATCAATTGAGAAATAGCCAAAGATTTTGATTTTAATTTTTTAATTAACAGGAATTGGGTACAGGAAAAGTCTTTAATTTATTATAGAATTATAAAATTCTATTGATGTTTTTTATAATTTTATTGTATTGTTTATTTTCATTTTTGGAAAAAATTTACGTATAAATAAAGATTTTAAGTTTTAGTTATATTTTTATCCTTTTTGAGTTTTTTTTAATACCAAATTCGAACAGATAAAGAGCTCTCTCCTTACCTTTGCACCAGGCCCCCCAAAGTCTTTTGCACGGTCCCGAGTCCGATTAATCAGCAAATAATCGCTCGTGTGAGCGCCATGTGTAGAAAATCATTTATCGTCTCGCGTAGCGACTATGTAAATCGATTCTTCGGAAGATTTAAATGAGGGTACTCGTAGGTACACGCACACAGATGTTAATCGCACATTCGTTATTCCTCGTTAAAAGCGAGGACCTCGTTTCTTTGTCGACGTGACTACTGATTGAACAAGTTTCCGGTTCGTGTATTAGCATAACGTTTTCCTTACCTTCTCTCAAAGAGCCCCATCCGATGACGGTCGCCGTCTTGCCGGAATACAGTTGTGATCCGCTAGGAAGACAGATAGGCCGGATTTGTTCTGTGAATTCCACCGGTTCGTTCATCGTGAGGAGCGCCACGTCGTTGTAGAGCGTTTGGGCGTTGAAGCCCCGGTGTCTCACGACTCTCTTTATACGTTTCTCGACGTGATGAATTTCCGTGTTCGTTTTGATGTTGTAGTCACCGATGCGCACCGTCAATCTCGCGACATCCCAAGAATTCATGCTGAAACAATGATCGTTTTGCCATTAGACAAGTTAAAAAAAATCTAAAACATATCCTTGAGTAATAGGAAAAGGCCAATAAGAGCTGGCGCTAGTAATTAATTGCGAAATTGAAAAATTATTTGACTTATAAGATTTCGACTATAGATTCCGATTTTCCTCGGATTCATCGACTTTGTAAGTCAAATAATTTTTCAATTTCGCAACTAGTTACCAACATCTGCTCTTATTGGTCTCTTCCAATTGCTCAAGGATTGTCTATCCTGACGTATACCGAGATTGTATATCCCGTCTTATATATTCTTGAACAAAATAAATGTAAAAAGCCTCTTTAAATTGAACTTTAAATTTATCTTATGACAACAAAATTGACATGCTCAGACATAAATGCACTGAGAAAAAACTTAAAAATTTATTTGTGGGACGTAAGATTTATTTCTACGAAATAGATCTCATATTTCTACAAGTAAATTTGTAAGTACTTTTTTCTCAGTGTGCGTGAATTAATTTGACATTTGACGTTTTGAAAACTGAATGTCTAAAGGAAGGGCCGAAACATCTGTACGGATTTCAGATATATCGTAATGAGAGAACGTTTACTAAATTAATTCACGCATTCATACTTAACGTTTGGCTGTCATAGGCCTGACTTAAAATTAAATTCGATTAATACGTTTTTTATTGCTCTAAAGGATATCATTTTCTTCTAGGAAATAAACAAAAGAATCAGAAAAAACGTCGACGGTATAATCTCATGGAAAACGCGCCGAATTGCTTTGAATCGCGAGAAATCGATAATCGTATTTGCATACTTAGCGACACAATGCGCCGCAGTCAGGATGTGTCGGTCGTCGATGAGCGACCCCCCGCAGAATTGTCGTCCAGCGTTGAAGAGCGCGGCGATCCATGGCCATTCGCCTGGATCAGCGGGCTTTCCACCCACGATGCGCTCTTGATCTTGATTGCCGTTCTTCGCGCCGCATTGCGACAGGTTGCTGCTCGAGCTGCTCGAGGTGGTAGACGGCCTGTTGGTGGTCGATATGGTGGTCACGGCCGGCCACCAGGTCGGCTTCTTCGTTGGCCACGTGGTGGCGGAACCGGGTTTCTTGGAGCTCGTATTGATCGGCTTCTCAGTGGTGTGCGTCGACAGACCAGGCGAGGGTGGGTGAGTCGGTAAAGGTGGTATCGTGTGATATGGTGGATGCGTAGGAATCGGTGGTGGCCAAGAAAGCGCAGCCTGAGGACGCGCTATGCTCCCGTCCTCTTTCTTCTTATTCTTCTTATTGTCTTCGACCTGGAATGATGTCGATGTATGTATTAGATGCGCGATGGAAGAGAGATTCGCAGGGTGGAAAGATGTATTTAGGTTCTTCATCATATGGAGAAAAAGAATTGGTTGAGTTAATGTGATAATGACACAACTAAACGCATTTTGGTCGAAGGAAACGTTGAGAGAAAAATGTATGATATTTGGGACTGAAATGGCATATTTAAACAAATGTATTCAAGAAAACTATAAATATAATGTTACTATAACATGGGCGAGGTGTAACCAACCCATATAAACATTTTATCATGAATTATAGTGGTTTTTTTCAAGTATGATATAATATTAAATAGTTAATAAATAAATTTTCAGGCAAAATACTTATTCGCTAACGCGTTAAGAACAACACAATAAAAAAAAAAACATTCCTATTCAGGAATATGAATTTGGTTCTTTGTTGTAATTATGCCTGATAATACGTCTTACTCTCATTTTAATTTATCACAATCATAAAATATAGTTGCGCTAATGAATCATAGTTATGATTATAAATCCGCGTCCATTTTGATATATATGTTACATGGTTAAAGAAACTATAAACGTGTAATTGAGACCAAAATTGACTATAAAATATAAAATATAATGGGATTATATTTACTCCGCCTATTTTTTTTTCTTTTAGAGAACAGAATTTCTGGAACTGAATTTGATTCGATTTAATTGAATCAAATTCGCTCCCAGAAATTCTGTTTTCTTCAACCAAAAATGCATTTAGTTGCGTCACTGTTACGTTGATTCAACCAATCTTTTTTTCTTTTATATACGAAAAGAGAGTGTGCATGGTTACCAAGTAATAAAACAGGTCGTAAAAAGTCTTTTCGTGAAATCGTATCGTCGAGTCGAGGGACATTACACACAGAAAGATATATGCTATATTGAAGTCAATGTTTTACTTGTTTCAAACATTTCATAAGTTTATATCCGCAAATATATCATAAATTTATTATAAGCATCAAATTTATACAAAATATATTCTCAATCCTAGTAAATTTAATACTTTAAAATCAAGAATAAATTAAAACACAATTTGGTGATTATTTCAATTAACTGAATTTAACTTTTCTTTGATCAAGTTTATAATATTCGTGAAACGAGAATAAATTCCTCTTTTAAGTACATGATAAAAGACTTTTCTAAAATTTGTGATGAATATATTGTAAAACTATTATTAAAAAAAAATATTCTTTGTTGAAGATAACTAAATGATACATGTTTTGTGTAACTTTTTCCGTAGAATCGACTGGCGTAATGAGTTTTGTTCTACAGCCAGCATTTAATAATTAGTTTATAACAATGTATTGAAAAATTGATTTTGCAAAATGCTTTTTATATCTAATATGATTTTTCATGCTCCGGTTCTATTTGCAATTGTTGGTTTTTTGCTAATCTTACTAGTCTAACCATGGGTTTCAATGGGTTAAAAAAAGGGAAGCAAACTGAGTGATCGCTTTTCTCAGCAATAGACTGATATTTTTCTCTGTGTATTTTTCAAGCTGGATCTAACGGATATATATTTTTATTTATAATACATAATTCACGAAATTCCAATAGCGAAAGTGATTATCGCGAATAGAAAAAAAATGTTCATTAATATCTGAATTTGCAGTCGATCGGATCATTGGCTGATCCTCTTCAGCTGTTACCTGCGGTTCTTCCTCATGTACGGGGTTGTCGCAGTTGTCGGGATAGGGCGTGACGACCGGATGTAGGTTTGAGCAGCAAATTCCAAAACTCATGTGTCCATCTTCTCGAACGTAGCTGCACGTATCGTAAACACCGAGCACCCAGCCGTCCAGAGCACCGAGGTCTGGAATCTTGAAGTACGGATAGCATTCCTTGAAGGTCGTGCAACGACCGACTTCACCCTTTGAAGTTAGGCAACTCTCGCGAGTGGCGGCACCGCTCCACAGGATTTCCCGACCCTGTCTCGACGTGAACTGGCTCGGTTCGATCGCGGCTGCAAATTAATATTTCATGTGTCTCTTTAATTACAATTTCTTCAAACTTCTGTGAAATACATACAACGTGAAAGGAAAAAGTGATACATTCAAATAAATCTTTGCTGAGGAGTGTGGGAATAATTATTGTATTTGGATTAAGTAAATATTACTTGAATGTAGCACACTGAAAGGAAAAAGTGTTACATTTAAGCGTTATTTCCAAATAAAATAATTATTTCTATATTTCTTAGCAAAGAAATACTTATTTGAATGTAGTACTTTTTTTCTTTCAGTGTATAGAAATTCTGCATGTTGGTAAATGAGAAGAATATAATTAATTGTATATCTTGATCTTGGCTATCTTTGATATATTCTATTTTCATACTTGCACGATCTATAACTATCATTGCTGTCATAATGTGGTGCACACATGGATTTTACGTTTCTTTTCCCACCTCTTTCATTTAATTCATCGTCCGTGAAATGCATATGTGTTATCGTGTTTGCCATCGTAAAATTAGGATGCATCAAGCATGTTTGTCTTAACACGTACTTGAATATGCTTAATTTGGTATGAAAAAATGCATTAATATGCGGAAGATATATTGACGTGCGTATCTTTCTTGTCCCAAAATAAATGCACAAGAACTTAGAATTGCATGGGTTAAATCATCATCAGGAATATGTGACATTTTGTGTCTTCGTCTTAACACCAGCATGAAAAAGAAAACAAAATAAATTACATGTAGTCGAATTGTATGTCGAAACAATCCTAACAAAATGAAGGGCAACGAACTTGTTCAGCTTCGCATCAGTTTTGGCGAGAAACCGATTAACAGGAATTATGTATGAACGACAAATACGATCGATTTGATCAGGTGTCGCCGTTCACGCGACATACGTACTGCTATGCCAATCGAAATATAATAAAATTCCATCGAGGAGATACTTAGCGACGAGTTCGCTGACCCACGGAGTCACACAGGTGCACACGTACATCAAAGGTGAGGAGCGCGCCGGGAGACTTCCGGTCGCTGAGTATGGGACGCGCGCGCCAATGTTCATCGTTCGTCAATCGTTATCCGATACGTATTGCATCTGCCGAGGGGAATTTCGCGATCGTCGACGAGGGAAGCGAGATGCCTGGAAGGAGTCAATGACCACGTCCGCGAGACCACACAGAACCGACGTGCTGTGATTTCTGACTAATGATGTCGGGATAATCGGTGATATAACAGCGGATGAGTAAAAGTTGTCGGAGCAGTCGTCATGCGCGGAATATGAAACAGGACGGAGACATTGATCTTTTGCACGACGACGATTGATGATTCAAGCGTATCTCGCGTTAATGACAGCGAAACATTCTGGAGATATCGTTTCCTCATCGCGAGTTCAATCAAACGAAGAGCTCCGTCTCGTTCGTTGCCCGACGATGACAGTTGGATAAATTCAATCGCGATGGCGTTCAGGATTAGCCCCTTCGTTCTTTGTTTTCAGCGTCGTTCTCTCGTGAACTAAGCTAAAAGCGAAGAATAAAATGGATAACAATCAACAGAACTCTCGAGGAACTTTCCGACGACTGGCGTGCGCGATTCTCAGCCGAAGCGATCGGCGAACGATTAAACGAACGGACGAAGAGAGGAAAGGTCATGAGGAATGTCCGAGAGCAGACATAGACGAGGCTGTGCCATAGGAACCAGGAGTCTATCCGGACGAGGAGTGCATACGAGACGCGGCGGGTGATCGATACTGACCTTCGACGATCACGGCGTCGTCCTCTTCCACCACACGAGCATCGTTGATCGGCTTGTAGCTCCGTGATCTGGACACCGGCTCTTCGGGCACCTCCGCCGCGATCACCTGCACCACGAGCACCAGCACGATCAGCGCGAACGACGACAGTCCGCGTGGTCGATTCATCCTAATCAAGAAGACCGTCGTCCTAAGAGAACTCGAGAGAACCGTAGAGAAATCCGAGCGGCACCGCGAGCAAAGGGACAACGGACGACGCGCGAGATTTTGGGACGATCACCACGTGTGCGAACGCCGGGCGAGGATCCTGAGGACTCCACTAGGCCGCCGCCAGGCTGCTGAATAGCCGCTGCTCGAGCTTATAACGGGCTCGCCCTCCCCTCTGGCGCTCGGCGCTGCTCCCGGCCCCCGGTGAACTCCTCCGTGGCGGAACGCACGAGGTGTTTCGCGCTCTTTTCTTCTCTTGCTCTTTTATCATCACTTCGAGCCGTCCTCTCCCGTAGAATGGCCGCGGGGTAGACGATAGACGGAGGAGAGTCGCGCCGGAGGTCGGGAGAGGCTCGGTCCTCCCGATGCGCGAAGCGATCTTTCCTTCACGAAAAAAAAGAATCAGCTGTCTATATAATACGACGAAAATTTACCAGACCTAATTTTTAGCCGTAGAAACGAAAAATTAGATACAAGGACAAGAAGTATTAGCTAAATTAACTAAATTTCAGTTGTATTATATGGACAGTTAATTTTTACCTGTGGGAGCCAAAATTTTGTTACCAGACTTAGTTTTTAGCTTTAGGAGCTAAAAACTAGGTGCAGAGATACAAAATATTAACTAAACGAAATTTCAATTGTATTATATAGACGGCTATTTTTGACCTACGGGAGCTAGTTTTTAGTTATGGGTGTTTGTTTTTAGTTGTGAGCGCTAATTCTTCTTTTGTTGATTATTTACACTCAGAGAAAAAAATAGCCGTACGAGCTAAAAACTAGCAGTGGCATCTAACATAGGGACAGCTAATGTTATTGCTAAATTGATTAATTGTAATAGTAACAATATTAGCTATTAGAGATAAGTTGCATTTGTTGCAAGGTATATACAACTATATTGTTCGTTATAGCGATTTAATTCAAACAGCTGATAAATTTAGCTGCGACTCCAACGACATTAGCTGTCAGTTTTTAGGTGTTAGAGATAATTCGTACTTTGAATGTAAGCTGTTTGAGAGTAAAGCGTCTCTTAGAGCGGAATCGAACTGTCTAGTCATCTCCGTTCTTCACGTTTTTATGGCACTGTTTCTTGTGATGATGAAATAATAAATTATTTTTAATTGTGACTAAAATATAGATATTTTATCTTTTCAGAACTCGTATGATTTTTTCCCCTCATCCAAACGCGATGTAAACACCTCGAAATTCTTCTCGACACAAAAGGGAAATAACACGAAGACGCATTGTTTTCTCTGCGATACTGTCTAAAATACAATCAGTGTATTATCACTGAGAACAGTCAATAGTCACTAGTCATAGTCGTAGATCATGGTAATAAGTATAGCACTACAAATCAGTAAAATTTCTCTGTAAAAGTCTGTTAATCTATTAAAGCCCATGGCTAGATCAGTAAGGTTAGCAAAAAACCAACAATTGCAAATAGGATGAAAAACCATATTGGATTTAAAAAGCACTCTGCAAAAATCAATTTTGCAATAAATTGTTATAAACGAATTATTAAATGCTGGCTGTAGAACAAAACCAATTACGCCAATTGATTATACGGAAAAGATTACACAAAAACATGTATCATTTTTCCTCGTAGCGTCTTTCGTTTATATATATATGAAAAAAATAGAAACCTTTTTCTCTGTGTACCCACTATTGGTATTTAAAAATGAAGTAGCAAATCAAAATTAAAAGTTTATTGTTCTATAAAAATTTAAAGGAAGCTGAAGTAAGCGTTACATTACTGCCTGGCAACTAGTTGTGACTTTTTATTTAATTCTTTTATTTATTTAATTTCTTTTATAGTCGGCTAACTTATTTATCTAGTCATAGGAGAAATGAACATTACATTATTGGCTAGTAACGACGCTAAACATAAATTTATTACCTCCTAACTAGACACCCGCGAGGTTAAATTTCTACTAGGGTTGCAGTACGGTTCTCCGCGAGACAATTACGCGAGCCGGACTTCCTCGAGAGGGATTCTCGGTCGATTTGCGGCCTGAATATATAACACGCGGACGATAACGTCCATTTGTGTGAATGGGATTAAAGTTATCTTGATTATGTAAGCTGTATGATGGAACCGGATCACGCTTGCGATCGGTCTTCGATCGCAGTTCGTGCCCGGCTTGACTGCCGCGCGCTGGCATTTGCATAGAGAGCACGATCCTCCGCTTGGCCTTGAAGACTCCGAGAGAAGGCTGCATGTAAGGGACGGCCGTGAACTTGCTTACCGCGTGATCCCCGTGTGCCTTCGTCTATCCCGACAGTACATATTTATGCATTTCCTTCCGCCGACCGGTGAATATAGAACCGCGTCTCTCCCCCGGCGTTCTCCGCCGCCTCCATCTTTTTCCCACCTCGAAGGTGTGCTTCGACTCCTTGCCTCTCGCGCCGTTTATTGAGCGTCATTGTACGGTGAACTAACGACGTTATCCCGCACACTGTGACGACGAAGTTCATCGAAGCAGAAGTGTACATTAGATAAATGACAGGAAAAAATAGAGAGAGAGAAAGAAGAATAATAAAATATTCTTATGCTCGTACGAAGCGTATTCTATATAATTTCAAACAAACGAGACGCGCTAAATTCCATAGAAGTTTTCCGATATACACGGAGAAAAAAATTTTGCAATATAGCGCATTGTTTGTTAATATAGTGATGACAAAAAAATTTGTTTGGACGGCAGAAAGATTTGTTAAGAATATTAATTGCTATTTGCTGAATATATGGAGCAGCAGCAATTTGGTTGTACCAACTAAACTTTATTGCTGTCGCAACGGCGTTTTGCTACAACAGCAAAATGATTTTTTCCGTGTAACAAATCAAATTTCTTGCTGTCACTATATTAACAAACAATTTATTGTTCCAGCAAAATTTGTCTTCTCCGTGTACGGCATAGATTCAGATTAAAATGTCTAAAGTTGTTCCAGAATAGGTTATCTCATCGTGATACCAATAGAGAATATCTCATTCTTATCCCAAACATGAGGTGAAGCCTCTTTTTTGCGATGCTGATACAGATATTTTATGATAAAATCTAGACTGTCGCGCGGTGGGTGTCGCGTTTGCTGCATCGTAAGCAAACCTCCCTCGCGAAATGTGAAGAGAGTTGAAAGCGAATTCGGTCTATCACAAGACGGGATCTTCGATTTTCTCACGTTAAGTATAAACAGTATCTTCCTCGCGCGGGAGAGCGAAAGAGCGGAGGTGCTCGGACCTTGAAGTGTACGTCAGGATACCGCGATACTTAGGGTCGACGAACCGCGTCCTAAAGGGTGGAGAGGGAGGCAGAGGGATTTTTAATTCGCGTTCTTTGACCGGACAACTAATAACCACTTGCCGTCGACATCTCGGCAGAGGCTTTTTTGTTGTCGCTCGTAAATGAGAGCTCGATAATCGATAAAAACAGCGGTGTCTGACCCGCCAAACCGGACTCCGCCGAAAATACACGCGTATTACCAGCCCATAAACGAGCGAGTGGGTGGCTAAACCACGGTCGATCCGTCGTGCGCGTTTGCACACGATAGTCCGTCGAATGTCACTCTTGTCTCGTGTCTATTATCGACCCGAGATATACGGAATTTGCGAAGGACGTTAGCGCGCGGTCGTGTCGCGTCGTAAGAACAAGGACTCTACTTTTGTTCGATCTGAAAACCGTAAGCGAGGTTCAATGTTCTTGTTTGAGTCGCCGACCCTCGTCATTACGGGAACATCCGGCGATATGCGGCGATATTTTAGCACGCGCGCTTCCAATAAAATCGAGAATTCGCATTGGCGCCACGACAATATTGCCGGACCATGTTAGATTCTTCCTCCGAAAATGTGCAAACCGGTTGGATCGGGGGGTTGCTCGTAATCGAGCAGGAGAAGGTGGCTCGTTACGCTTCTAACGACGAGATTCGAGAGGAAAGGTCTATCAAAAGAAAAAAAGAATCCGGCGGATAAAGAAAGGTCGAAGAAATTCGCCTCTTAACCTGAACAGTCGGACCTGCGCATTTCAGAGGCAGATTTTTAATTACACACGAGATATTAAATATAGCTGGAGTTTGGAGGCGAAATTACAGTGAGAAAAAAATTGATCGAATCAACGAAATTTCGCTCAAGTGAACAATATTTTTTAAGCACACACGGAGAACAATTTTTTGCTGGTACAGCAAATTGCTTGTTAGTATAGTGACAACACAAAGATTTGTTGGACGGAAAATAATGATTTTGCTGCTGTAGTAAAACATCGTTGCGACAGCAACAGAATGTAGTTGGTATAATCAGCAATTAATATTTTTAACGAATCTTTTTGCTGTCACAGTAACAAACAATTTACTGTGCCAGCAGAAAAATTTTTGCTCCGTGCATCGTTTAGTCCATTGAAGCAATTGTACACGTAGAAAAATAATTTTGCTGTTATAGCGAAAGCACATCATCGTTACCACATATTCGTTGCGAGAGCGATAAAATTTAGTTGGCATAATCAAATTAGCGAATTATTTGTACAATTAGAGCGGAAATAGTTTTGTTGATTAGAACAGAATAAAAAAATTCTGCTAAGAATTTGTCTTTAAGACATGTTAATTTGCTGTTAGAACAAAACGGTGTTTTTTCATACATTTACTAATTTATTTTTACAGCAAAATAGTTTGTAGATATAGCAAAATAATCCAGCAAATAGCAATTAATATAAATGATTTTGCTTTCCATATAATAACTGATAAATTTTGCTGCGACAGAATGTGAAATTTGCTGTGCCAACAAATTATTTTTTTCCGTGTATCAACGCAACGTATTGTTGAACCAATGCGTAATTTGTTTAGTGGACAAAATATTTTTTTGAATGAGGCTGATTATTTTGCCAATCCAACTGCTTTTCTTCAGTCTAGTTAACTTTTATTTGAGGACATTCGCGAAAAGGAAATCGACCGGTCAGATTGTTCCTTCGTGAGCATATGAGGATGCAAAGTGTTCCGTAAAATCGGCTAAGCTGAAATTTAATTTCTTCCTGCGCGCTTTATTATTACTATCTCTCGTGGCGCAATGCGTAATGAAACGGACAATAAAACGCGTTTACTTTCATAACGCTGTAAAACTCGCGCGCATGATCGCCCACGAGTATCCGGAGCGTTGAATTTTTATTGCTTCGGAATCTAATTCGATTCCTGTTAGATAATGCTGATTTCGTTTAAGCCGTACATTCAAGTGTATAAATTGCACGTAACGTCGGACTAGAAGGATTAGAACACAGCAACGACGTGTAGGCTGTTATAGCGGCGTCGTGCAAAAAATCCGATACCATCTTGATGTTAGTCCGTTTCGCGATGTGCCAATTCCATTTCACCGGCTCGGCAACACGCTTTTTTTACGGGCTTTATTAATATTTATATGATTTGTCTCGACATTCATTCTCTCTATCTTCCTTCCTCTTCTCTTTCCCTCCCCCCCGTGTGTGCGCTTAGTTGCCGATATTATCCGCGTTGAATTAATGTAACATGCCAGAGCTCTTAACTTAAAAAGCAGTCTAATTATAAGTGTGCGTACGTGTACGCGCGTTATAAAT